ATCTGACTGACTCTAGAATCTGAGCTCTCGTTGAGCAGGAGCTAAGGGAGTGGGAATGTGCATACTTACCCTTGGATTTTCTTGGGAATCTTGAAGCAAAAACTGAGCTAGGAGTCTGTGGGAATCTGCCGGGTTTTGAGTGGGATTGAGACAGGGCCAGACAAAAGGCCATGAGAGGGTTTCTAGGGAAAACAATGGGAGGTTGCAGGAATTAGTCCCCTATGAGGAAGGAGACCAGCAGCTAATGTATTGGAGGAAGAATAGGGAATAAGATTTCGTGGCACATTGGCAGTCCCAATCTGTCAATGGAATGTAGACTCCATGTGCTAAAAAGGGTTACTTAGAGGGTGGTTGACATGATAAAGGGTAACCTTTCAAATTCATCAAGCAGGTGAAGAGCTAGGAAGATCACTGAGGCGATCTCTGCCCTGAAATACTTTTTCCCTCTGTTTCCTGTCCTGTCCTGGTAGCCACAGATGTTACTTAATCCAGCCAAGGCTCTCAGGATGGAAGAGATTGCCTACTCTTCAGCTATGAACCAACTTCCCAGGGATCACAGTTATATTTTCAAGGACTGATAAAAGGCTCTGCGAATTGACTAGTGGCAGGAAACCAGGGCTGGGTGCTTTGCCACAAATGTTGCTACCCCTGCAGAGGTTATTCAGAAATATAATCTTGTTACAAGGTCCTGATACAAAGGTGGCATGGCACACACACCGACACCATGATAGTTTCACAAGACCACCTTGGACCCCCATCAACATTATGCATCAGCAACCTCCCCTGAACTAACTCAGAATATATCCAGGGGGATCAAGGCATCGTGATTGGGGATGGCATAAGTTCTTTCTTGATCTGAGTAGACCAACTTAAATTTATACTTAAAGAATTAGTTTCCAGATTTCAGTGTCTTCCCAGCCACACATTATTATCAGATTAATGAATAAGCTTAAATTCCTGGTACACAGTGATTTTAGGAAAACTGAAGAGACAAGATGAAGAGCTAGAATTCTCTGGGTGATGACCAGAGCACATACAGTGCTGGGACCTGCTGAGGCCAAAAGATACCTGGAGAGCTGAGCTAGCTGGTAGTGGTGCCCTGAAAATAGGGAGAGATGTTATTTGTCAAAGGGAATATAAATTCTGCAAACTGAACTTAGCAATTTGGGGAGAATGTGTTTGACCCACCCTCTTCCCTCCCCATTTGTAATTTTGCTTTTCTATTTTTCAACTTGAGTTTACTCTGGAAGTGGAACATTTATTCCAGTGAAATGTGCCTACTGTGGTCTCTAGTAATTCAAGACATCTACTTAGTATGCATTAAGATCAATGCAGTACTTGCCCCTCTTGGAGGGTATCTTTGCTAAATCCTCAGCTGGCTGATGCTGCATTATTTTCTTCTGGTGTATAAATTGAAGAGACAATTTTTAACTGCTGTAGAGTCCAAAGAAAATGGTTCTTGACTTCTTGGGCTCGTTAGCCTTTAGTCTTGGTTAGTGACTACCAGATGTTGCTTGAACATATTTGAAGAACTTTATCCATTGAAACTTCTTTTGGAAAATTAGAATATTATATGTAAATCATGAAAAAGGAAAAATGCTGTACTATAAAGCTTAGCCAGGTGTGATATAATCATTTATTGAGGATATCATATGGGCAAATTTTTTTATTCTAGATAATGAACACATTTGCTTGTCATTTGAGTTTTTTAAAAAAAGCTATTATGTTTCCTCTTTAAAAAAACTTACCAAAAGTTGAAAGTGTGAAATCCATTTTAATATGTTGAAAACATTTGGGTTTTTAAGATAGTATCACAGATGTACATATTCCAAGTTCAAATTACTTAGAATTCCAGATTCTAAATATTTTAAATGAAAATGAAAATGAAATCAAATGTAAGTTAACCAGTGATTTTTTTTCTTTTAGTTATTTTTAGGTAGATGAGGATAGGATGGATGTGAGAATGGCAAACAATATTTGCTATGAGGGTCCATAATTGTGATAGAATTCCAAGCGGCATTTTTGTAGCCTTTCCTTCTTACCAAGATAAATAAACAAATAAATAAAGAATCCTGTTGTATTTCAAAGAGAGATACTGAAAATCTCAATTCCATTTATGAATCTTTCTCTTTTAAAGTATCTTTCTTACAGACAGGTTCTCTAGGACTCAGCCAGCAATGAAGGTCTAATATTTTACTAATAGCTTCATAGTTCAAAATCCAAAAATTAGGGTGGGGTGAGGGGGAAGCGAGAGTACTTAAAAACCAAATGAAAATGCCCAATGCCTCTTGGAAAGCACTTTACTACAATTAATAGGTGACCTCACTGGGGGATAGTACACCCTCCAGAAACCTATTTACCACAAATCACCCAAACTATTATTTTTGATATTAACCAAAAGGCCAAAGGATTAGATTTATGCAATATTTTTATAGTACACATTTTACAAACATTGGGATACTGTGTGAATTATCAAATAATTCCTCTGTATTCCTAAAGTGTCATATTTTTTCTGTGATTTTTATTAATCTGATTGAACTGGGGAGAAAAAAAGGTATTGAGATAGTTGGATTGGACTTATCAACCACTAAAATTGAACCCAGAAGAAAGGGTCCAAGGGTTCATAGCTTAATGCTGTACTATCTCTGCTTCTCACCAGAAAACTGAGAGGAGTTGACATAAGTAACTAAGCTGTGAAGGTATCTGATTGTCTTAAAAGAACATTATGAAGACACTTTAAAGGTTTTAGCTCTGGGCAGGAATTCCCAGGCGAGAATGGGCAGTTATTTCCTATTCTGCTTGTGGTGGCCTCCTCACCATTTTTATTTTTGTCGTGACCTCAGCCAGGCCATGTTTGAAGGTGAACAGTTTATTTGTGAATGCAGACCCTTTGCTTTCCCTGGTCTCATTTCTTGAGGGGTCTAGAGAAAAAGACCCCACCAAGCGGTGGCCTGTTTTAAATCCTTAGGCTCCTCTACATCCTCGTCACTTCTTGCCCTCCTTCCCTTTACATTCCTGCTACTTGGAAAGACAGCAAGGCAAACAAGGCCTCAGACTTCAACATTTTATTTAGGAACTGCTTAGCCATTTTCCCTCTCAAAGTGCAGGGTTATTCATGAGTGGGTGTTTTAAATCTGGGCAGGAGATGACAAATATAGAATTTTTAAAATTGTAAGGGGACCTTTCTTCTTTTTTTAAAATTTTTATTAAGGTTTTATTGATATACA